ATATATATATATATACATATATGTATATATATATATATATATATATATGGCAAACATATCGGCAAAATCAGGATGTAGTAGTATGATAATACCTTCAAGCGCTACTTTCGATTCACTTCCGGTGGAAATTATCACATATATCATGAATTGCCTTTCATACGATGATATCAGTTTATTGCGAGCCGTTAGTTAGCTTGTTATCGTTGATTTCCCGAATGAAACCATTTTTTTAATCTTGGAGATGAATAGTCAGAAAAGAATAAACATTGATTCAATCTATGGAAGAAATATCTAATTGTTTGTGCAAGAAGCTTTTCAAACAAAAGCCTTCAAATTCTTTCTTCAATTTAGGTTTCCAAAAGTTTCGATGTGGTGGCACGTTCCATTCTAAATAATTCATTTTTTCGTCTCGGTGAACAGCTGGATAAAGCATTAAGCCGAATGAAAAAATGTTACCAAAAAGGGAATCACAACGAAGGTACTACTAATTTTTATCATTTTATTCCAGTAAGTAAGTTTTCCATTGGCATTATTTGTTATATACTAGACAAAAATTTAATCTATAAGTTATCTGCATGTAGTAAGAACGATCAATGAACGGGATACATCATCAGTTAAAGTATGGTGGTGTAGTCTTTCATTTGTATAGGATAGAAAGAATGATAATAAGGATAATTTTCCAAATCTCTTTCTTTTCTGTGGTTCCAAAGGCAATAATGATATAGGCAATAATCATTATCATGGCTATGCTTCGCAAATGTGGATTTGGGAAGGCTTCCTTTCCACACTTTCCTACACTTGTTTTAAAGACTACGAAATGAATTTAGGTGTGTGTTTCCAGCCTCCGCAGCGGATTTTTTTAGATGAGGGACAGAATGCGCAGAACTAGCCCCACCTTTTACTCCTTAGGTTCATCTACTAGGGCCTAGCGAAACTGAACGATAAACGAATTTCATAGGACATTAATTCCTTAGGATATAGGTTTAATTAGAGTATCCTTTTCTGAGATAGATGGTGGTCCTACAGGGCTAAATGAACTCCCCTGCCCGAGTTTTGAATTAGAGTTGTTTTTCTCTTAGGACAGTTGCCGGGAGGCTAGGGAGGCTAATGAGCCCATCCTATTCTCTGCCTGATGCTTTAGATGTCTGGCATGGGAGTTTCTACCGGAGGAGTATGCGACCCCCAATAAAGCTCGCAACCTCATAATTGCATGCAAGGTTCTCCCCCGTCACAAACGGGTAGCCGTGGAGAAAAAGCAATAATAAATCGTTGTAAAAGATAAGGCTTCTTAAGAGAGATAGTCGTAAATATTTCAACTTTTGGAAACCATGAAAAACAAAGTTTTTGCTGCTTACAACAAGTATCTTTCTTTCCTGACTATTTTCTGACTGCTTTCTCTTCTGAGTATTTTAATTGTTGCCATGAAGTGCAGTACAGTGGTTTAAAAATTCCCTCTTGTAAAAACGTCTTAACACTTAACATCCGATGCATCATTGCATGGCTATCAGACCTTAGTTGATAGAAGTGTGAAATGTCGTATTCGTAGTATTTGGAAGTATAAAATTGTTGTTTTATATTCAGTCCTTTTATCATGCCACTTTCAGAACATAGACCTTTTCCATGACGTGAGGTCGAATGACGTTTCAAACGTTCATGACATACGTTCAATATAACTTTGTATATTTAAGGTTACATACTTTGTCACGTGTCAATGAGGTTTATTCAGCTTTGGAAACGCGTTATGCATTACTTTCCATGACATTCAGGAAGTATATTGATAATGATTCTTGTTGTTTTATAGCTGGCAAGGTAAGTAATAAATTGTAACTAGTGAATTTTGTAATTGTTAAAACGGTTGAGTCTCATTAATTACTACTAACTTCTTTTTTACTGAAATGTTAAGCAATATCGACAAATAGATCCTTTATAAGTCAAGAAACTTTAACACTCTGTTTCTAAGATAATTCAAAATATGCTTTAACTGGATGCTTCATCCCAGTTAATTCGTACCGGATTACTATGTATAATTCATGCAGGTACTGGATGAAGGATTCTCTGTGCTGCGCATGTTGGACAGTTGTGTTAAACGGAGAGTACAACCACCGGAAACACAAGAATCTTTAAGAGACATTCGGGATTATTCCAGGTTTGTTTTGTTGAAATGAATGGGGTTAGGGAATTGTGATAGTTACTGACAAATATCATAAAAGTACTTGACGTATTCGCATTTCTATCATCATTTCAGTAAACAATGACTGTAGTTCCCACTGCTATTGTTTCGTCATTTTAAACTTTTTAGCATGGCAATGGAATATTTCGAAGAACAAATTGCACCAGCTCTACGTATTCGAGATCCTTTGAGTCTTCTCTGTCGTTCTCATTCTCGGTACTCATTGGAATCGTTGCCTAACAATTTTTCGTCTGCAACATTAAGTGACAGGTATATCAGCTAAGATTACCGTATTATCTCAAATACATCTTACATACGAATGTAGTTTTAATTTTATCGCTTTTATTGCATTACTCTTCGCGGAATAAAATAGAAAGTTTCATTTAGTGTTCGTTCGTTGTGCAGTATACCCTCTTCGAATATCGTAATAGGCAGGAATAGTAACAGTCCAGTGACGCGTAATCTAGATGATTTTGCGAAAATGAATCAGTGGAAAAGGAGGACTGATGAGAAAGTGAGACGGCATGAACGAATAATCGCTGAGCAGGATCGTGTGATACGTGAACAAAGCAAAGCCATAAATAGTATCATTGAATGCATGCATCAAGTAATTTCTTTTTTTACCACATCAAATTGATTTCGATAAAATAAGCCTTCAACTTCTCGTAAGAATCCTTCATCTATTATAATTAGCGGTTTTCGGTTCATGCCTATTTATTACTGATTTGCAGATTAGCTCAAAAATTTCGTTCAACTTCATGAAAGAACTGAAAGCTGTTGAAGAATTATCGCAACCAAATTCACCACCTGCAGGTCCGTCTAAAAAAATGAAACGTTTGGGGAAAAGAAAATCCAATACAGCGCTGTCCAGGAAAGATGTAAAGCGAAATTAATTGCTACTTACCGGCTTACAATTACCAATTCTCAACAAACCAGTTAACTATTTCTTGCGGGGCTGCATAATTTACGTGATACATAGTTTTGACGTCTAGTCCTTAAAGTTTAGTGAAAATGTTTCTGCTAAGCATCCATTCTCCATATTAAATATTATGCATGAGATAGTTACTTCCGTGCTTCTGAACTTATACTCCTGGACTTTTTTCTTTCTTTTGGCGATATATGCTCTTCGCGTCCACATAACTATGGATCCCTAGCTCCACAAAACAGAACTTTACTATTTTCTTTAATTAATTGGTAGTCACGGTAAAAGATTTGCGAAATGAGGAAGACTACATTGGATGTATAGACGAAAACCACCATCAGATCACTTTAAATTTAAAAATGCCTAAGGTAGCACTACTTGTTTTATCTACAAACAAAATTACTATAAATTAACATTATTCCATAAAATACACACCCTTTATGCTATTGTCAGTCCCATCTGCGTTCTTTACATGTCTAAATTTGTTCATAGAATCAAGAAAAAGAATTGAACTACACGTTTGCAAGTTAACTACTAACTGCTGGGTCGCGTACATTTCGAACTTTTTAATAATTTAATGAGCAGTTTCCAACAAACAAAAGAAAAAAGAACCGTGTAAAAAACCGTGGAATGACGAGAAAGAACGGTGGATTCTATTAATTTAGAATTTCTGAAGGAGAGAGAAAGTAGAGGGAGGTTTATAAAGGTTTTTAAAAACGCAAATGTTTCTACGCCCATTTCCAAACAGCATATTTAAAAAATGGACTTCCATACATTTTTAATAAGATTTGCATATTTGGTAAGGTTGCATATGGAATTGCAGAAATAGGATGTGAGGGATTGGCATATGTGTTAGCAGTAAGGCATTAGCAATAGATCTTACTGGTGGGAGAGTCAAATAGCTTCGAGCACCGGGACTTCATGAGCAGATTAAAATAATGGGTATTACACTTATATGAAGAAAACCAACATCATATCATAAGAATTCTTAAGTGTTAACAACGTGAACATTTCTACATGATCTGAACAAATGATAAAAAAGAATCACCGGTAATACTTCATCACATATTTGGAGTAATACAGACGGGATCTAAAACACAGTATAAGTACTGCAGTAATGTTCCATATATTAGGTTACACATGCGATAACCAGTAGTGCAATATCACATTTTACTTCCAGCACATGAGTTAGAGATATAACAATGTCATATATTTAGCTGTCAACTTGATATCTCACTAATATGAATTTCTCAACAGCGGATTTGGAGTGTCTAGTTTTTTGATGATATAATAATCAACAATATGCGCTACATTAGTCCTGAAATTATCTAGATGCGCTGCGATATGGTCAATACATATATCATCCATGCTTTCCCCGCCTTCGGCAAGTGTTTTCAAAACGGTACTCCGAGTTGGAGCTGCCAAAATAACGACCTGAGATTACATAAAATGACACAAGTGACTGAAACAGCGTCATTAGTAAAGAATCATAAGGAACGGCGGTACCATTCGTTTCTTGGGCCAATTGATATTGTTTGTTATCGTGAAAACAGAGATATAGGGGTAGGAAGCGAAAATTGCAAATTACAAGCTTACCTTGAACAATTGTTTTGATATAAACCCGTGATGCCTTTTGAGCGTATTATTATAAGCATTGTTGATAGAATCCGTTAAGCTGTCGGTCTTTTTTTTGTCTGTCGAAGATCGGTACACCTGCACCATTTCCGACAAAAATTCAAGCATGAATTCTAAACCTCTAAAAAAAAATACAGTGTCGTAACAACGAAATATTTTACTAAGTATCCTTTCTCTTCTGGCAAAACGCAGAATACTAGGGTATAACTCTTTCCCCATACCGTAGCTCAATTTATTATCAAAATTAGTTTTACCAGAAATTTAATACAAGACAATCAAACATACAATCCAAAAAGCTTGTGCCGTGCTATAGTACCATCACAGTATACAAGCCAGTACATTTTTTTGAAGTGTTAGTTTTGTTCGCTTAAAGAAGAATCTACAATTGTTGAAAATGTATTAAGCTACAATGCACCTTTTTCTATCGGTCTGAAAAGAAATTAATCGAACCTTTTCAGCCATAACAGTCCTTCGGTAGCTGTCCCCATTTTTCCGCGGTTTTCAGCGAGATCATCTTCGATCAGATCCTCAATATATTTGCATTTGTCTTTCCCACTTTCGTATTTTCTCCTAACCTTGATGACGTTACCGTTGATATCATTCTTGACCGGAATAAATGCTGTTCCTAAAAAACCTGAAATACTATTCCTGAAATAGTAATCTTGGAAACTGTCTCGATGATTGGTCTAGTTATCGATCGTGGGGTAGCACATAGCAATTAATTCATACTAATGATATTGGTAAAGCTTTACAAGTTTTACAAGAAGCTGAAATTTAAAACGTCTGAAGGATTCAATGGAGTGTGGAAAACAATATTTGAAGACTAGAAATTCCAAGTTTACCTACAAAATTGGCGATGCCTTGACAAGCTCTAAGGAACTGTTCGGTTGGGACTTTATCATTTTCGATTTCCGGAAACATCTGTTCTGGGTGTGAGAAGTATGTGGAAACTTCACCCAGAGGTATTGTATTCATTTTCATTATTGTTCCTAAAATTGATTGATAGAATCTCTTTTAGATAGGCCTGTAGCAGCTACTTTTAAATGTCATTCAATTCATGTTGCTCGGAAAATATACTCAAACGCTAGCAAATCTAGCCAAAAAAAAAACAATTCTAGCGACTTTTATTCATCACATCGGTCCCTGTTATTGAAAGAGACCGAAAATTAGCCGATTCATTGACAATAATTCGAAATAAGTCAAGCGATACTTACGACAGCGAAGTCCACATAACCCACTCCGACCTTCCAATCCTCCAATTTCCAATCAAAACAGCAAGCAATGTGAAACTTAAGTCTCATCACGATGAATGATATTTAACACAAAAAGGCGGTCCATCAACTAGTAAAGGCTGCGAAGTAGTTGGGAAATGTCCAAGTTCCGATTACAGTAGTTGTGTAGCACGTGTGGTGTGATTGGAGGCTTTGGTTCAGTCGTGCGGTGAAGTTTATTGTACCATTCATTTCACTTAGTCTTTCACTCGACCTGAAATGTGTATCCTTATCCATCCTAAAATGCGTTTTCTACTTGTCTTACGATGCACCCTCTTATCCGCCCCAAAAAATCCCTCACTAAACATTTGGCCTATAATATGCAACTTATCAGCTATCTATACTGAAATACCTTTTGGCTTATACATTGTTTTTTCTTCCTCTCTACTCTTTTAACCAAATGATCTCCAGATGTACCCATTTTAAGAATCTTTTAACTTGGATTTTTTTCTCTTTGCGGTTTAATGCGGTATTATAGGTATCTTATCGATTAATTTGATCTCACCATTATTTCTGCTTTCAATGTCTTTCCTTATTCAGTTTTTGTTTTAACTGGATTTCAGGAAGTTCGATAAGATTCTTCAGCATGTACTGCCAACGACTTTCAATTCCTGTAGCTCGTATATCAGTAAGTTAACTTTGATCCGATTTCATCGATTTTAAAAAAGTGTGGTTGGAGATCAATATCCAGCTATGTTTACTGCATGGTAGGTTGATTGGTGGCAGTGAATGACTGAGAATTTTAGCCAGCAGATGTATTTTCGGATCGTATAGAAGCAATGGCGTGCCGGCTATTGACATCTTTTATTTAGGCAAACATCAAGGTTTTTACTGGGAAGAAACGAAATGTTTTTTTTTGTGAAATAAAGTGTATAATTGCAGATGTTACCAATGTTATTTCGCTCGAATAACGGAGCATTAGTTCGTAATTTACAAACATCATCAGTGCAGCGTGACATTGATAGTGCAGCGAAGTATGTTGGAGCTGGTGCTGCAACAGTTGGTGTAGCTGGCTCCGGTGCTGGTATCGGCAATGTTTTCGGTTCTCTCGTCATCGGTTACGCTCGAAATCCATCCGCGAAAAATCAATTATTTTCCTATGCAATCCTTGGTTTTGCTCTTTCTGAGGCCATGGGCCTTTTTTGCCTTTGTATGGGTTTCTGTATTTTGTTTGCATTTTAAAATTTACACCCGCTGTTGTTGTGGGGATTATCTGCTTAGATTTAATAGGAAAATGGTTTTGACGATTGCAAAAAATTAGCCTCTTAAATTAGAAAAAATATGCATGCCTACCACGTTTATTCCTCGATGTTTTGTTAAATTTCATGTCATTGGTAGATGTATCATACTATTCACTCTGTGAATATTTATAAAGCTAGGTTTCTCAATGTTCGAAGAAATGCATGTCTACCATTTTAATTCGGACATATTTTGTTAGACTTGATAAATGTATCGTTAGAATGAACATAATTAGAATACGTAGTGTTAGAGGACTTTTAAGATGGTCAGTTGATATTCTGTGTTGTTATTCAACCATTAAAAAATTTTTAATCGATTAAGGGATTTGGTTTAAGATGATTAGGAAGACAAAAGTAAAATTAACGGTTTAGCAATGCTAGTGTGGATATATCATTTTGTTAGACTGGTGTCGGCTCAATATTTCTGCAGGGTACACGGAAAATTTCTTCTGTTTGCTTGCATAATGTGTTGCTTCCAAGGACCAGGATTTCTTTGAGGATTTTCAGGTCCCAGAAAGTTATATACTGTTTGTATTCCATCAATACATTGAGGTCTTCTTCCGCTATCAGTAGTTTTGCCACCTGAAACTCCAAGTAAGAGAGCGTCAAGTTTGACATCCTTGTTTCTGAAAGATAGCAAATGAAGCTGCTTTGATGGCAGACGACGTGATGTGCCAACACTCTGATTCAACTGAGGTTTTTTGTTTTTCCCAAAGCCTGGTGAAAGGCTAAATTTAGCAAACGAACCTTGTAAGTGTACATAATTTGTGAAGTTCTTGACGGGTCGGGATGTGTAATGTCACTTTCATACTGAAAATGTAACTTTGATTTATCCGACTCTCAGAATATGTTGGTTATGAGACAAACTGTTTACTTTCAAGCTATTAATTAAAGGGAACTCGCAATAAGTGGTACGGCTCCCACTCTCAGTGCTGCCAGAGTACAGATAATCTGGTGGAAAATATTTGTTGTGCTGATGATTAAGCTTGGTTCGTCTGGATGTATAGCACTTTGAACATGAGTAATTTCCGTCTGGAGTCTTTCCAACGAAATGGGTAATAATTCAGCGGAAGAAGCATTTCTAAAATTAATATTTTGAAACTTTCAACACTTTCTTAAAAAGAACGCAGAACAACACGACTATCAAAGATGAAATTATTCCTCCAGTGGTGTCATTGTGCTAAGGTTGCGATGATATCGTTAAAAGTATAATTTGCTAGTGTTAAGGTACCTGATAGGTAGAAGCAGTGCAATGGACTCGTTGGAAACCGTTTCTGCTTTACAAGAGGTGGATGCTTTTGGGAAGAATCCACTCCACCATGAATCTCGTTTTTGCTTCATTGCAACCCAAAATATAGTAGTATCACAAAGGTTAGTTGCTAGGAGATGTATTTCCCATCGGATTTTATGTAATTCCATAGACGACAAAGTTAAGATTATTGTAACTACGGTAATGTTACACTTAATCCTTTTGCAGGTATCATACCTTGTACATGTAATAAGGTCGTCTGCCGATCAAATTCACTTGTGGTGGTGGCATTCCTTTGTCCGGACTTACGTGTCGTATGACAAGTACACGTTGTATTCCCTGTATAGATGATAGTTTGGATAAATTATATAATAAATAATTGGAAATGAAAATAAAAACATTGGTTTGTGATACGCCTTCCATTCTTCTTTTATTCTTTTCTGGCCCAAGAGTAAAGTTGATTTTGCTCATGAATATAATTCTTAAAAATAATTGTTATTTCTTTGGCTAAGCTATCCTTAAAATTACTCTTTCTCTATGGTTGACATAAAATATACAATGTCAGTGATTGCTGCATCCAGAAGCTCTTTAGTTCTGATCAATCGAGTTCCCATCCAGAAACCATCAATTGTCACCACTGTGTCAGCACCACTACTCTTCATTATATCATGTAAGCAATTGACATCTTCATTTGTGGCACTCTAAGTACTTACAATAGGATAAGATGATTTAGATATTATATATATTTAAAATTTAGATATTATCATTTTCTCGAAAAAAAAAATTTGAAACTATTGCCTCAACAGTAAACATATTTTCAAAACGTGGAGTATTTATTTGGATACTAATCTGTGACAATAATCAACTGATAGGTTATTACCGTTATATGTCATTCGTTATAATGTATATTATCAATACATATGTATTCCGTATGTATTACGACGTTTTTTTCCTATATCATAGCACTTAACGACATGAAATGACATGTCACATATAAATGATCATTAATTATTAAGATGTTTAAGTGCATACAATGGGTAAAACAGTTAGTCCTATTCGAAGTGTGGCCAATGCAATAATAGGAAGTTGTAAAACATTGGGTAAATATAACACTATCGGCTTATCCTTTAATTGAAATCCTTTCAATATATTGGCGCATTTATTCACTAAAATATCCAATGTTTCGGCACTTAATTCCGTGTCGTCATATACTTCATTATCATAATAATTACCGATCCTAAATGCAAAGTTTATATAATAATTTAAGAATTAATTTCATTTGATTCTCTAAGTTTTGACCTCTTTCTATATGAAGTATGTAAAGAATTTTGGTTAGAAAAGTGCTCATGATTGGATCGATACGTTTCGGTGATCATTTTACCAGTAAATTCGGGTATTCTCCTTTTGTAATTTGTTTTTCCAAGCATCAATACATTCGTATGAAAAATTTTTAATAGCCATTAGGATTCGAAACGCAATTCAAGTATTTAAATCTGAAGATATATGACTGAACCAGTTGATTATTTACTACTACTCTTCATTGCATTGTATTTGTTATCAAATGATAACAAATACATTTTTGTTATACAAGTGATAACAAATACATTATTTGTTATCAAATGATAATAAATATAATAAAATTATTGGATTATAATACGTTTTCGAAACAATTCTTTTTTAGAAACACGACGATCATTTAATAATACTTCTAACTGATTAGGCGGCAAAATAATCAAGAAACAAAATGATACGAAGATGATGGGGAAATCGATGACGACAAACTATGCAGAATAATTGCAATATAAACACGAAATGTGATAAAGATTGGGAATCATCGGTAAGACAACTCCTTTAATTTACTTCTTTAATATAAATCCCGGAAATCCCTCTAAAATTTTGGAAATTCATATTAAAGAAATAAATATATGGAAAGTAAAATATTTATAGCAAAACATTCCAGTGGAAATTTAGAAATTTACATTGAGCTCTGAAATCGTTTGGAAGAGCTCCAAGGCATATATTACCCGTTATTCACTCCCAATTTGATACGCCTAAATGATTATTGGCCACGATTAAATTCATTATTTCCTTCTCTCACAAAACAATTTCTTCCTTCATGAACTTTAACCATTTGCAATTTTTCAATCATCCACAAATCAGTGTCTCACTCTTACATTTCAATTTGTTCAGTATCCTTCCTTGTCCCCAAGAGATGCGCACTGAATGATCGGAGGCCTCTTGTGATCAACTACATGAACCATAATAACGTACCAGTTTATTGGAATGTGGGTTATGAACCCAAAAATACAAACACAGAAATACTACATAACGAAATTGCTTAACATCGACAGAAACTATTACTTTGGATAAAAATGAATTTCGAAAGTGGCAATACACTTAATGACTGGTACAACTAGGACCAAAGATAGAGAGAGAAGACTGAAAAGTTTAAATAATTGATGAAAAAAAAGGGATAATATGAAATCATATCGAATTATTAAATGGAAATTTAATACTATGAAGATAATAGGCGATGTGAAACATACCGTAAGTTATATAATCTTTTAATGTAAAAGTCAATACGAAAGTTTTTTAAATAATTGGATTGTTGTAAATGTTCCTTCTCAACCAGTTCGTGTTTCTGGCCGACCATTCCATAAGTGAGCAATAACCGTTTCATCGATAAGTGAAGTAGTGTCACCCAAATCCGCAGCTTTATCACCCTCAGCAATTTTCCGCAGTATACGACGTGTTACCTTTCCTTAAAATATTAACCATTATTTTAAAAGCCTAATAGTAGATTAATCTAGGATGATTTAAGCAGATAAAACAGCAACGAATTCTTATTCCATCTATCTAAATGAAGAACAGAATCGATATAATGATGAAGCAAGAGCAAAGGTAGTTTACTATACTCGACAGCCATCACTTCTCTCACAGATGCAAATTATTCGTAACTCACCTGATCGTGTTTTAGGTAATCCCGGGGCTACTTGTATAACATCTGGTACGGCAATTGCACCAATTTTTTTTCGAACCAGAAATTTAAGGTCCTCAATTTTCTTGTCCGTAAGTTCTACGCCCTAAAAAAAGTACCATATAGAAAGTCGCTACCTGATGTGGGATAAGTTCAAGGAGGAGGAAAAAGGATGAAAACAATTACAGCACTTTCAATCTTCCATTCTGATCACAATATTTTCCAAAATTTCTCTACTTCTATAAAGATGATAGATGCTTAGGATAGAATAGCAGTAAACAACACCATTCGTAATGTGACGAATGCATATGGAAAGTTGCCTTTGATATCATGCGGTGCTGCAACTACAGCTGCTTCCACTACATCGTCACTTGAAACTAGCGCAGATTCAATTTCAGCAGCAGACAGTAAATGACCTGACACATTCATGAGATCATCGATGCGTCCTGTAATATAAAACGATTATTAAATCGATTATTAAATCAAAATTGATTATTAAATCAATCTCAAATCTCCATCAATGCCAAAATAGGTTACACCTGTGATCCAGTAGTAACCATTAGCATCTCGACGTGCTCCATCACCAGTGAAAAAGTAGCCTGGGTACGGCGAAAAGTATGTGCTCGTAAATCGGTCATGATCACCCAAAATGCTTCGGCTTATACCTGGCCAAGCGCGCTTGAAACACTGCAACAATAATAAATATTCAAAAAACACCTGAAAATGCCTTGCCTACTGGATTTCACTGAAAACACTGGATTTTCACTGAAAATTTCACTTGTCTACTGAATTTCACAGCGAAAGGACAATAATGCTAATGAAACGAGTTGTATTATAAAATGTAAAACTGGTTCATGTTATATAAACAGAAATGAAACAGTCACCAAGGTTCCTTGGCCGGCTCCTTTGACTTCTCGACCATCCTCATCAATAACAGCTGGTTCTATTCCAAAAAAAGGAAGCGTTGCACTACCCGGTCTACAGGGAATTGCTGCCGGTAACGGCGCAATCGTATGTCCTCCTGTTTCTGTCTGCCAGTAAGTATCAATGACGACACAACGGCTTTCACCAACCACCTAAAATTTGTATCTCAGTCATCAACGCTTTTGTCGCACAAAATTTAAGTGAGCAAAATTGGTGGTTCAAGTGTGAATACCTTATACAACCACTTCCATGCTACTGGATTGATTGGTTCACCAACTGACCCCAACAAACGCAGCGACGAACGATTATGCGATGTAACATACTCATCGCCAAAAGCCATCAGAGAACGCACTGCTGTTGGCGCAGTATATAAGGTTGTAACCTTAAAAAAAAATCTCATATGGAGCAAAAATTGAACCAACAGTGAAATGTATTCAAGTAAAAAGAGTTCTTGACATTACTTTATCGATTCCACTGATAACTGTACGTACCGTAGTTTTGAACTATATTCAACAAGCGCAAAGTGATAACTGAATAGCATATAAAACAATAATAAACATTAGAACAGCAAATGTATCAATCACTAATTATTAATGACTTACTCCGTATTTTTCTACAATCTGCCAAATTCGTGATGGTGTTGGGTAAGTTGGTACACCCTCATATATAACACATGTCAAACCATTAAGAAGTGGTCCGTACACCAGATAAGAGTGTCCAGTAATCCAGCCGCAATCGGCTGTGCACCTGTAAATATATAATAGGGAAATATATTTTTATGAAAGTCAAGAGAAAGATTATTGATTATTTCCTCAAGAATATCATGAAGGATGAATTTGGTTTTTTCCTGATTCCTTAACTTTTCGGTTTATTTCTAATTCCCTAATTTGATTACTACACAAAGTTTTGATATTTTCTATTCCGTTCTTACTTCACGTTTCTGCATAGAGAAGTTAGAATTAATTACTCAACAACAACAACTCGGAAAAAACCGAAAATAAATTCTATTTCACCTTAAAATTTTTAAAACTGACGAGCTCTTCTAGACAATAAACCATCACATACAGTAACTATTCTCCTATTTTAACCCAATGTATACTGAAAACAATCTTAGGACTCACCAATATATATCCTTTTCTGGATTAGCATTAAAAACAAATTTAACAGTGGCATAGGCATATGTCATGTAACCAGCAGTAGTATGAACGATTCCTTTTGGTTTACCCGTTGAACCAGATGTGTAAAGAATAAAGAGAGGATCCTCTGCATCGTTCCATTCGACTCCAGACTTTATCCCTTTGCACCGTTCCATTTCTTCATCCCAGCTAACATCTCGTTTTGGATCCAATTTCACCTGACATGGAAAATATGAGCAATATATTATAATAACAAAACTACGAATTCATAATCTATGATTTTTTTTAAGTGGAAATAGTTTAAAGTAATCACTCATTAGGAAGCTTGAAAAATAAAATTTATTTCACGAACGATAAGTAAGAAATTAGTGAAAGTAAATTTAATTTAAATAAATTCCATTTCACCTTACGCAATAAAACGAAAAAAAACACACACACAGAAATACACACCGAAATGTCAGGAAGTAAAGCATAAAACTCGATTCCCATTTCCCTGAACTACTGATTCCCTCTGCAGCATTTTTCTATCAGTAATTAAAATGTAATATTTCAGAAAACACAACAAACGAAGTTAAATTTACGTCAACAGAAGCAGTAGCGTTTGGTTTACGGACACGCTCCAAATGTTGTACAACGATGACTTTTTCCACCAGTTTGCCCTAAAATATGCTCTAAGTGCTAATAATAACAAAGAATCAACTACAACATATTTGCAGACTTTCTATTTAAGTGAATTACGAGAAAAACAACAGATTGGTTAACGATGGTTTAGAATGGTAATGCGAGACAGAAGTCTATCACCATCACTTTTAACTTAACTAATAAGCCAAAATTGTATTTTAAACGCATCACATACAACAAACGAACTATTGAAATATACCTACCGAAACAATGCATTCATTGAGAGCACTGTCAACTATCATTTTTAATGTTACAAGCTTCTTGCCCCGATAATATCCATCAGCAGTGATTAGGATACGAGCTTCTGTTTGACATATTCGAGCTGCCAAGGCATCAGCGCTAAATCCAGCAAACACTACCGCATGAACAGCACCGATTCTGGCACACGATAACATTGCTATTGGTAATTCAAGTGTCATCGGTAAATAAATCACCACAACATCGCCCTGAATTAATAAGAATAGCATACAAGATCAGTAACATTATCCATAGTTATCATCAATGTATTCCTGAATGCCACTATTTGAGACATAAGGTCATAAAATATTGCATGACATGATTAAAAGTTGGATAATAAATCTTAAGAGATACAAATTTTGCAATTTTCTTAACCTTCTTAACACCATGAGATCGCAGAACAGCAGAAAAAGTGACGACTTTGTCAAACAGTTCTTGAAATGTGAGAGAACAACAATCACCGGGCTCATTGCCTTCCCACAATAATGCCGTACGAGAGCCATACCCTTAAAACATGGTTTGAATAAAGAACTGTCAAGATATTTTTATCAATTTTTCCATTTATCAACTTTTTAAAATCATTTTTCCACGGACTAGAACAAAATATTTTAGTTATCGTAAGTAAACGATCATTCATTAAACCTAAATAATTTTTTCGTGATTTTTAGTTCTACTACGAACTTGCCTTTGTTAATGTTTTGTTCCAAGCAATTATATGCAATATTCGTTCGTGCTCCTTCCATGAAATGTACATAAATATCTCCCTTACGACAATCGAAATTCCACTCCAATCCCTAAATAATTTTTTACAATGAAATGACATGTTAACTAGAATAATGTGTTCTTACGTCAGAACATGGAAAAGATTAAAAAGCATAAACTCGTAAAGCCAGATTTTTTTATATTCAAAGAAAAAAACAAAGGGAACATAAACATTAAACACAATAAAGAAGACAATAAACAATTACTCAGTGCTTAAAAAAGCAAACGACGATTATTCCCCGTCTCACTCTACATTTTTGATAATATCATAACCGAAGAGATTAATGTGGAATATATTCTCACTAACACATATTTTTAAAATTCTATAGACAGAAAGAGAGTGAAATAACCGACCTTCTTGGACTTCTTCTCGAAGTAAAGTTCTTCAGCTACCGTTTTCCAAAATTCATCGGCATTGTTGATGGAATTGCTATACATTTCCCGATAAGAATCAATCCCTGTGACATGAGCACCTAAAAGATCCACACTTATAAGTAATAGATAGAAATATGTACGAGGTGATAAAATGAAATTGAAAATTTGATTCCTTAAATTAGAAGCAAATTATGCGCATGAAGTAATCTCCAACGAAATGATTAATTAGATTAGATAAGACCTATTTATGATCATATCTCTATAGCGACCATGTGAAACAGAATAACCTGGAACATTTGGAAGTGAACAGTGAATTCGTATTTAACTTAGTACAGCATATACTGTCATATCAAGTCAAATTATAATTCTGTAAGAAATTTTATCCATATCATGATATGAGAAACACCATCGTTTCACTTCTTACTTTCTCTCTCTTCCCAACAGTATTTTCCACATCTCATTACCTGCTTTCTATATCTCATTACCTGCATGTAATTCATATTATCTATATACAATCTTTTATAGATCATATCGATGATCACTACAGAGAAAGAATAATAAAAACTGTGATTGAAAGAACTCTCTTATTCTCCTCCCCCATAAGCAATGGTAAAATGTCCCCAAGAAATTGATAAATCTTTCAGGAAGATAATGACATACTTCTTCAATAAACAACTTTGTGTAAATTTGAAGAAAACAAAATTCGACTCAGTCATATGGAATGATTTGTTGTAAACTGTATTCATCATTTCCTCAACAGTTTGATTAATTATTAACAACTTTATACAATAATAGAATTAAAATGAATCATACCAGCAAGGATAGGTGGCGGAGGAACAAACCAATCCTCGTCTTCTTTTACATCGTATGTTTGGAGAACCTTAAATTTGATTCGAGCATCTGACATGTTAAATTTGAAACAACTGAATGAATCAGTGATGTAATGGTATCTGCAAACAAATCTTTTATTAAATTTACTAGAACTATTATCAAAATTGATTCGTTATCATTTCTATCAAAATTATTATTAAAATTATTTGAATTTATTTAATCAAAACATCAATCAATTTAACAAAAACCTGTCATCAATTTATCCAACATGCTATCGGATTTATTATCAAATCGATTAGAACTATGATCAATCCATCATTTATCAACAAAATTAGCACGAATCAAATAATCTAATCGCTATTTAAACCTTCTATCCTTCCCATTTTCTCCCGATAAATCCTGTTCCTCTTTTTCCTATTCTCCCACTATCCCAGATTACTCTTTCCATTCTCTCTCTTTCTCTCCCATAATATCTTTGCTTCTACTCTGTCTTTTCCTCCTTGAGAGGGCAAGGAGCGCGATATCATTATCATATCATACCATACCATCCGTCCACTAAGTATCGGCAGTATCAGCCAGGTAATGTGGTCTTATAAAAAGCTATATAGTGATATGATGTAATGTAGTGTAACACGGCAAGCTTTATTCTATTCTTCTATCATAGTAAGCAGGGGGTAAAGGTCGAGGTCAAATCCAAGCATCACATTTTGTCGTCCAATATTTAATAAACACAAAATCAGGCAAAAAAGTTTCATTAATTTAGCATATCACAAGCAGCATTGTTGTCATCAATAACGAATCGATGATATGAATGCCTGTTTATTTCTCAACCACTTCATTCCTTGTTTGCTTCATTCAAGAAGTTTTAAAGAGCGTTTTCAATTCAACTTTTTGACCAATTTTTTCTTTCTCCCTACCTTTCTCTCCCTCTCTCTCTTTCTCTCTCTTTTCCCTCCTCCCTGTGGGAATTATTATAATCAGAAATAAGGGTGACATGAGAATAAGCAAGGCCATCATTTAAAGTTTAAAACTTACAGATGCAAAAAAAAGAAAAAATTGAACGAGCAAACAAGAAAGAAATCCCTCAATAGTTAAGAGAAAAAAGAAAATAAAAGCTTAGAATGGCATTCTAAACAATGTATAAAGAAATAAGTCAATAAAGCTTTGCGAAACGTCTTCAGATATCTTTTCCAACTTGAAAAGTATCACTAAACCGATCGTTTCAAAACATCACAACAAATGACAATAACATTTTGTCTCAAAATTTGATGATACCTTTAAAACCGGTCCAATGAAACATTTATATTATTTGAAAGAAATGTAATTAGAAAAGTATCGATATTTGTACCATGATATGATTGATTTTTGATCGTTGATAAGCTTTGGGTGGGCAGTCTTTTTACATCATTTCCACATACAATTAACAATCAAAAAAAAACCTCTCTCTTTAATATAAAGAGCAAAGATCATTGAAGTCGGCAACTAACAAACTATCGTTGAAGGACGTAACTGATAACAAGTTTCATTAACGCTTCAATGCAATTTCTATAAAGCGGAAGATAATTTATTAAACAAACTTAGCAATATTTAAAACGTTAAATTTAATATTCATTGAAAATTAATCCAATTAGAATGTTTTGTGAACTGATATTATCAAAAGATACGAGAAACTACAAGCATATCGAAGAATGAAACAAACACATTGACTTCCTCTTTCCATAAACTCCTGAAACGGTGACCCATAATACGGAAGAGAACTTTTGCTGGTTTCACAAACCGGATAAACTAATTGCTACTACTACAACTACTTTGTATTACTTATATCCACAATAGGTAAGGAAAGATTTGAAGGAGGAAAGAGATGGAAAAGAAGGAGAGGAACTCTTTTCTAGTTCGCAGTTATTGGAGCTTTCGTGCACTTCACTTATTCTAGTTCAAATTGGATTTATCAATTTTCCGAAGTTTTCGGTAAACGGTTATAGAGTGAGTTGACAAGAGAAGAGAAAGATAAGGAAGAAGAATGATGGAAAAGAAGAAGAGGAAGAGGGAAGAAAAAGGAAAAATTCATTCTGATTTACATTTGCCAGCAATTTACTCTTTCTAAGTCTTATCAAATATGTCATACAGCGAACAAATTTTGATAATTTCACTGACAGTTGTGGAGAATCACTCAGCTCAGATAATTCATTCATCCATTTCCGGAACGATCCGGTCCTTGGAATGACCATTACAATGACCATAACAGCGGTGATAATTGGATATGACAAACTAGCATGAGTAAACGATCAAAGAAATTTAGAAGTGAGGTATGGTCCACGATTAGGAAAGAAACCAAGGCATGATATTTATCGGATCTTCGTTCCCTACGATGAATTCGGATTCTTGGCACAAATTCTTGACTCTTGGCATATGGCTCTCCTGTTGTAGGACAGAAGCCTCATGCACATAGCTTCATTAGTTTCCCGATAACCATTCTAGAAGGAGGATAACCCTAACTCCAAACCGGGGTAAATGGAGCTCGTTTAACGCATCCATTTAAGAGAAGGATTCTCGAACACAAGCAATATTCTGTGAACTCTGCTATCACCATGGTAGTTCACTAGGCCTGGCATATGAATCTTAAGATTAAAGGAGAGTGCCGTCAGTTCTGCTTATTCTGTGCCTCATAGTATAAGCTCGAATGATATAGCCATAATTGTAGCGATTGCAACAAGCTTAGGAATATACTTTCAAACCTTTCATGAAGCCTAGCCATGATATATTCTTCATGATACTATTTGTTAGTCAGGCTTCCTTTATCACTTCCCACAGGATATCGCAATGGTGATTCACTAACCTTATCATCAGGATTCTATCCCGAAGACATTGGTTTTTCTCTGAGAGGAGAGTAAGAGAGAGAGTAGGATTGAAGAGGGACGTGTATATTTCAAAAGTTTCTATCAAAATATATAAGATCAGTGGCAGAAAGTACATCTTATTTAACAAAAAACATCATTAATAAATAAATGCTAGAATTAAGCTTGAAAAAAAACTATGCAAATTATTCGCATAACCTTTCAACCGCATCAGATAATTGATCCCAAATGACTAAGGTTATTTTGGAATTTAATTCTCCCTCGGCTCGATATACTTTCCTAATCATTAAATATTCGAATAGAAGAGGTTGCTATAGGAATTTCATTACTACTCTAGTGATAAGGATTGAAGGTTATCCAGCTTAATTATCATAAATTCAATTAATTGAATTGGGAAAAAAACCATTTCCAATCAAAACCTCATTTAATTTCCAATGCAAACTTCCCATTAATGATACACTGAAATTGTTGGAAGCATAAATACTATAAAATATTATGTGAATATTTGAATTATAACAAATTTGATGATTTGCAAGATTAATTAATTCATCACCTCAATGAAAAAACTAATAATTTACTAAACTTTCGCTTTTAATTTTAATCTGATAACTTTTGCCACAATTTTATCTCGTCGAAAAATTGCCTCACACTGATAATCTATTAGATTAATTGCTAATCGATAAGTTAATCAAGATGCTCCATCTTTTTAAATAAATTTACTACTATTATATGAAATGTTAATAATGAGATTGTAGTGATATATTGATTGCTTCTATAAAATACCCGACTAATTATTTAATAAGTATTCTCTTTTGCTATGAATTTTAATCGTTCGTTTCATTTTTTTCAAATTATTTGTTGTTACGACTTTTAAAATTCAATACAAACATACAATCTAGTGAATTTGATTTAGAAATGGAAAGATATTGAGAAAATTAAATTTCAAAAACAAGAAGGTATACATACACAATTTCTTTTCAAATTAAAAATTTTCCGACAATTCCTTACACTTGTCGTTGATTATTTTGAGTTATTTACTCATTTTTAATTTATTAGTAGCGATAAAATCAAAAACAACTTTTGAAATCAATTGTAGAAAGGATATTACGCGAATAAACGAGACATTTATCAAGATTGGTGAAGAGTTTAAGCATTTGGGGTGTGTAGGCGGACAGCAAACAAATTCAACATACTAACAAGATTTATATACATATATATATATATATATATATATATATATATATATATATATATATATATATATATATATAT